TCCCTGCAGTGCTGGTTGTGGGGTCAGGCAGAGGGCAGACGTGCACAGGCCTGGGTGTGGGCACCAGGAGCTCAGTGCAGGCCCCTGTCCGTAGCCTTGGGCTACAGCCAGTGCCGCCCCCTGTCAGGGAGGCCCTGGGGGGGGGGGGGCGGGGGGGGGAGCCTTTTGGGATGGGAATGAGGCATCTGCTCAGAGACTGTCTGCTGCCTTCTCACCTGGCACTCCAGGGCTCCGCGGGCAGCCTCAGGCCCCCAGGTAGACCTCTACCAGCCCCCCCACGGAGTGCATGCGGTAGAAGACCCCCAGAGGCAGGCCGAAGTTGACGATGGTGAACCACGTCCGGTAGCCGTAGAAATCCTTTTCCAGCCCGTTCTCGAACTCCGGGTGTATGCCGAAGGCGGGCATCATCCACAGCTGGGGAGACAAGGGTGCTGAGTGGGGAGGGGCTCTCGTGCCCCAGGGCACTCAGCGGGGGGAGGCAGGTCCCCTAACCCTCCAGCTTTAGGGCCAGCTCCTCTGTCCCCACACCCTCATCACCCCATGCCACAGAGGCATCAACACCTCCTTGGCACGCCTGGGGCTGGCCTCAACTCCAGATAGACCTGAGACCTTCACTGGGTGGCAGAATTCCCGGCATGCCACCTGCTCTGTCAAGCTGGCGCTCTGCCCTGAGCTCAGGTGTCACTCCAACGCTTAGCTACCACCCTTGCAGCCTTCCTGTCGGAACTCTGCCTACTCCTCAGGCCACATCAAACTGCCACGAAGCCCTCCGTGGCCACCTGGGCCCACGCTCCCTTCTCTGCCCTCATGATGCACTTTAGGACCAGCTGACCTCGGATGCTCTGCCTGGACCAGGGCTTTCAGCTTGCGGGTATGCTTTCAGTGCACTAGGGGCTTGGGGTGGGGCCAGCAGTAGTGGAGTGGTTAAGGTATTGGAATCCCACATGGCTGACAGCGGTTTGAGTCCCAGACCTGGTGGCTTGGAAATCGTAAGGCACCTGTGCATGCATGCCCCGAGGGCACGGAGGAGAAGGGACTGCAGCATGGCCATCGCCCCGGGGAGTGAAGTCTCATTTCCCCTCTTTCTGTCTCTCTCCAGAGAGTGCACGTGCCCCGTGCAAAACAAACAAACAAACAAAAACAAAAAACAAGCCTGCCGCTTACACACTGTGGGGACTGGTGCGGGCCAAGCAACCTAAGCCCGCTTCCTCATGGTAAAGGGCCCGTGGCAGAGCCGCTGTGGTGTCGGAGCTGCGTGGAGAGGTGGGCCTGTCCTTAGCAGCCACCAGAAGTTCAGGAGTCGTCATCAACATCATCCACTAGGGATTCTTTGGAAAATTAGGCACTTTCTGGGCCAGCAAGCGGTGTGTTTAAGGCAGCTGGATCCCACATGGTTCTAGTCCCAGACCCAACGGCTTGAAAAACATCAAACAAGTGTATATGTGTACCCCAAATCCTGAAAGGAGAAATGGAAGAGAAGGGATCGTGGCGTGGCCACCTCCACGGAAGTGCTTTCTTACACCCCCCACCCACCCCTTTGCTCTCTGGAGAGCACACGTGCTCTCTAGCAAATTAAAAAGAAAAAAAAAAGGTACTTCCTGTTCTCTTCAATTTGATAGATGATGAATTCCATGGTAATCTTTTTAAAATTATTATTCATTCATTTAGTTTAATTTGACCAGAGAGAGACACAGAGAGAGGGAAAGCGAGAAAGCAAGTCACCAGGTCCACGACTTAAACCGTGGTTGGCCAGCGCCCTTAACCACCAGGCCCCCTACGGTAATCTAACCGGCCTCCTTGTGTCTCCCCATCTAGTAAGCTTCTCGGGGAGAGAAGTCTTACATGTTTGTAAGGAGCGCTTGGCTACCTGCTTGAGACACTGATTCATGCCAGAAGCTCTGCAGGGAGCCCGGATTGGGGGGCCCCTTTCTGTTCTCAAGCAGCATCAAGCTAGCTGGAAAGAGGCGGGTGTCCTTGATCCATCTCTTCCTGAGTGAGACTCTCCGGGTCTGCCTAGCGGGTCGTCCTCCCA